TTGTATTATTTGGTGGGTTACAACGAAAGTTATCAAAATAATGTGAAATTCAATTTAGTTTTTTTATATACATCACCAAATCAAAACAGTGGCTTCAATGCACTTTCTTATAGAAGGTAAAAACCATACAATAATACTGAGAAAATCATCTATAGCGAACGATTCAAGTCAACGTTTAAGAAAGAGAAATGACATATAGTGAAATGTAGATCCCTCCCAAGGGAAGGAGGGGTGACTCCCAGCTGCCAGCTGACCTCTGGCTATTTTGAATGGCTGTATCTGTATTTCTTAATCTTTAAATTCAGGTGTTTTTCAGTCCTATTTGCCACAGATAAAAACATTCAACAAGTTCTGCAGTCTGCCTTTGTAAACATTTGTAAAAATAAATACATAAATAAGTAAATACAACGAAAAATAGAGTGGTGGTTCTAAGGAGATCAGTGAATTTGAGTACCATAATAGGGAGTCATGATTACAAGTCACTTTGTCTTCCCTTTTTAGCTAGTCTACAATCAACTGTAAGCAGCGTTACTGCAAAGTGGAAGTGTTTAGGAACCACAGCAACTCATTGGCAGACCATGTACAGTGTGTGGGTGTAACCAACCTTTTAGAGTCACGGCACATCTTTCACGTTAGAAAAATCACACGGCACACCACCAAACAAAAAGCATAATTTTTCCCTGCGTATCTGGTATAGTGGAACTGGTTCAGTTTGTCCCCAGTATACCCCTTTTCCTTTCTTCTGACCACTACTCATGCTAGGGCCTTCATCTGGGTCGGAATTTTCTCCAGGACCCAGGTCAGATTGACTACTTTTTCTTTTCAAATACTAATCTATTGCGTGTTGCATCTCACAGGTGTAATTTCTTCTTCATCTTCTTCTGTTTTACTGGCAGTTGGTAACCCATTTAATTAGAGCAGGTAGTTGTACTGCCCTCCAGTGGAAGAGAAAGTAATTGTTCTGCCCGTTACTAACGCCAATTGCTTAGAGTACTAATCAGGTAAACCAGATAATCTTCCACGGCACACCTGATCATTTCTCGCAGCACACAGTGATTGGGAATCACCGGTGTAACGTATACGTGGCTCAGTACTCTTGTCCAAATAGAGAACATTTGTAATGGAAAGTCAAGCAATAGCTTTCAAAATCCTTTACTTTAAATAAGCAATGGAGAGCCACATGACTAATGTGGGTAAAATATGCTCATTTACAACTTCTCAAATAATAATGATGGTTTATTTTCGCTTTTCATTTCAAACATGTCTGACACTTTTTTTCATCAAAATTTAATATTTTTTGAGTGAATCACTTGATTTCTAAGCAAACAGTGAAAATGGCTGTAAAATGTCCTAAAGCCAAGAATGACATCATAAAATGTCTTTTTAAAATAATTTTCACCAAAGTGCAAAATCACAAACTAATTCATGACTATAAGAATTGAACTACTTATTAAAGCATTTATTATAAAAAAAAAATCAAATGACGAATGATCTATTCAATAAAATTGTCCAATATATTAATATATATTTAAATTAAACTGCAATGACTTATTAATATTCACTTGGATAGGCTAGAGTGGGCAGCTTGCTCTTGAATAAAGGGGATACCACAAGCTGTGGCATTTTCAGTTTGTCTCATTGTCTACTCTGAATTTGAGTGCTTTTATTATTACTGTGGATTTCTAAACACTACTCTTTAAAATTTTATTTTATGGATATTTAATTACATCTCACCTCAGTTTTTTTTATTGCAAATTAGTTTGCTTGTTGAATTAATCATTGCAGGTATTAAACACGCAGATGTTTTGTATTGTATTTATTGCTTAACGAACAAAAATCAGTTTAAACTTGTGCAAAGTTTATTTTGTTTAACGTCCTGGCTAAAGCCGGAGAAATGATGACTGAGTACAACCTGTTATCGCTTGCAAAATTTTGCTAGATGTTGTGAACGTCTGGTGTAACATTTTGATTAGTTGGGACCAGATTGTTTTATTGTTTATGATAATTACAAATTAATTATAATGTATTGTTTACTATAATGAAAAAAAAAACAGCTGTTTTTGACACACATTGATAAACAAATATGCCAGTTGATACGTTGTGTTACTGGAGAGCGCTCTGTTCTTTTCAAGGAAAATGCATACAGCCTATATAAATGCATTATCTTCTTTGCCTTTGGAGAGAAATGCCACAATTAAATGAAATTTGATGTGCTGCCAAAAACCCAAACATTGTGACACATAATCACTGAGGGCCAGTCTTATACAATGAACATCCCTCAGTAACTCAGTAAAATCCAGTTGAATAATAGTTGTTTTAGCCTTAAACAGTACCTTGGACACAAAGTTTCAATTAATTAAGTTGTTATCTCGTGTATATGAACTGTCAGTTTGCCACAAGTGTGCAACATTTTAGCTTTGTAATTTTTCTACAAGTGCTTCATATCACTGAGAGACCTCGGTTTATTTATGTGTAAATTTGGAGTGACTCAGTGACTCAGAAGCAGAACTTCTAGTATGGCAGTTTGCGTACTAATGATGTGAACAGTTACTGTTGTGTATCATTAAGCTGTATTAAATGCCATATTTAGACAATGGGAGGTTGCTGTAGTAAGCAATGGACTAGCAGAGGGTCAGAAGCGTCATTGTTTTGTATTGAAATTCAGATGTTTGGTTCTTCTGTAATTGTATTGTTGTTGTTGCTGTGTGGATGCTCGTTATTGTAAGGTCTGTGTATGAATATACTATGTGCGACTGGCTCAGTTGCATTATGTCTACACTGTGTTGTGTGCAAGTGTTTTCATAAATTAGCCACCAGTTTCAGCAATGAAAAGATGCAATCCTCTGGGCCTTTCTGAAAGTTTACTGGGTGCTTGCTGAAGTGTTTAGCCATCTTATCACCTCATGCTGTTTAACTGTTTCCAAGATTTTGCTCCTTTGTTTGTGAATGCATTGTTTCTAAATCAATTTGATTTGCAAAACACATAACAATAAAGACTCCATGTCCATAAAGAAACTGGTTAGAAAGTTCGACCCCACTGTTTCAAAATTAAGTTCCTTATTGAGCATGCAAACACAATTAAGTCACAATATAAGGTTCATAACAAATGAAAGCAAAAATAAGATCAATCTCAAAAAGTGGTAAAGTCTTTAGTAACGTGAAAATATTGTTAATAATTAAAGGTTTACTATTTTAACATTGCTGGGGGTTTCTGTGTTACCTTTTATGTCTTTCTGTGATAAGTTTTTTAATATTAGCCTCTGGTTCACTAGATTGGGATGAAAAGGATTTTCAGTTCTCTTTGCATCAGTAGGAATCTGCTTTTGTGATAATTCCATTGTATTAGAAGTCTTTAGGCCATCATTGTGCGCGCGTGTGTGTGTGTGTGTGTGTGTGTGTGTGTGTGTGTGTGTGTGTGTGTGTGTGTGTGTGTGTGTGTGTGTGTGTGTGTGTTGGCGGTTCTCTTATGTTTGCATCAATTTGCATCAATTTGTTCATACAGTATTCAAGAAAAACACATGTATTATAAATATGGAGTTCCAACATATTCTATGTGGAATCCACAGATGATGAATATTTTCATCAAAAATCATTTTGGTAAGGGCTATATTTTTTTATTTTGCAACTTTATACACAACTTTAATTTTAGGAAGGGAAAAAAATCTGGTGTGAAATGATGACCTAATAGTGAATTGGATGTACTGTAAAAAATAAAAATGTTGGTGTAGTAGTAATAGTAGTTGTAGTAGCATTAAAATTATAAGTTAATTCCAGAGATGTGAAAATTTCAAGTTAAAAGATGTTAACATGAGTTATTTTAAGAATTAGCTGCCAATCAATCAATCTTACAGCTTTTAGCAGCTCAAATTCAAGTTAAACAAGAGATTTTATTGTCCAAAACTTTAGCATGCAGATTTTCTGAATGTGCTTTAATCTTGCTGCTAAAAGCCAAAAAATGTCTCAAACTGCATGTCTGAAGACATCTGAGAAAACATGAACTGAGCCGTGATGGACAGATACTCATATACATGATAATTTGATGCAGTCCGTGGTGTTCATTCCTGCAGTGCAGCCTGAGAACAGACTTCCTCCCTGTTTTGCAAGCAATGGCATGCACAGTGCTGATGCCATAGTAGGTACGTTTTTGGGAAGATGAGCTTCGACAGTGCGATGTGATGTGAGACAACAACCATCAAGCTGTTTTGGGGAAACACTTGCAGACTTCACGCTTTCATGGCAATTAGTGTGCTTTTGGTTTTGAGGATACTTTTTACTTTCTGCTATATAATCAATTTGTTTCTTAGAGTTTAAGATTTGGAAATGCTCTGTGGGTTAAAAACAAGTCAGAAAGGTGTCGTGTCAGACTTATAAAAGGCCATGCAGATGGGAATCTAGTGAACACAACACACCTGTAGGCAGAGATGAGCCCTGGGCTTGTTGCGCTTGTGGGTCCTTTCACCTGCCAATGCAAGAACATTCTGTGCTCTGGTGCAGCCTGTTTGAAAGGAGCTGCGGGCTGCCTTTGTCAACTGTGGTGTTGACTGTGATGTGTGTGTATGTGTGTGAACTGCATCAGACTACATCAGCCTCATGGCGCTGTCTGCTCAGCACCATGGAGCTGTGACAGCTAACATGTGCATGGCTGAAAAAACACAACATTACACCTTGTAAAAAGTAGAGCCAGTGTATGTCCTTAGAAGCTGTGTTTGTAATACCCAACATGTGTATGTGTTTGTGTGTGTTATAGTCCCATCAACTAAGCTCATTCAAATAAATTTTAGCTTATTTAACAGAGAGTAAATGATAAGTGCTTTAATTACGCAATTTTGCTTTCCAGAAATCCACTTTAATGGACCTGGAAGAGCTCCCGTATCATAAACCAAGTCATAAAGACAAAATGAAAGATGTGCGATATTTGGCCATATCGATGACAACAATGTAAACGCGCTTATCTTAGTGAAAGAACAATTAGTTTTCAGTGTTTGCTTCGTTTTTCTCACCTGTACCAATCTAATCCTCTGTCATAGTTTCTGTCGAAAAAGTGCGGCTCTGTTCCAAGTGCGCGCACATCTGGATGTATCCGGATGAACTCCAACACCGCCCTGGTTCCTCCTTTCTTTACACCGACTATTAGCGCGTTGGGCAGCTTCTTGTTCCCATATTTTTGCGCAACACTCATGTTTTTCAACTTCGCGTCAGTCCAGTGACTGTCAGAAGAGGGGGCTTTACTTTGTTCGCGGAGATCGCTTGCTTCTCGCTGGGCAGCAGACTCATCCAGTGTGGACCTGGCTTTCAGCAAAGCGCAGTGGTCCAATTTTCCAAGAAGTTTCTTCCCTCCTGCGTTCTTGCCTGGCGGACACCGTTTCCCCTCGTAGCCCTGATTTGTCATGATTGTGCCGCGACAAAAAATGATATTATAGCATAAATAGGTGCAAGACAGTGACACGGTAAATATGAAGGCGAATCTGGCGCTGAATCTGTTCGCAGATGAAAGGAACCTATGTGCCATGTCTCCATGGGTTCAAAGTCCTGCATGATTTTCCATGGAGCTTGCCTCCTCTGTTGGTCTGCGGTCGGAGTCCGGTAGTAATGTGGGTTCCAAAGTCAGACAGGCTGGCATATGAGGATAGGGGTGGTTTCTTGGAGGCATCAGCTGCGCACAAGTCGTGTTATTTCTTTTCATAGGCTGCTCAGCCGAATATGATCACAGCAGAGAGAGAAAAAATGGGTCACTCCTTTAAACAACTTGTTCTTAAGTAGTTTGAAGAGAGTCATTTGGATCAATTACTGATGGCACTGTCTCGAAACGTATACCGAAGGAATTCGACGCCCATCATTACCCTCCTTCTCTTTTTCTCTTGTGTCAATTGTGTGAGAGAAGAAAAAGTCCAAGGCGTCCTCGGTGTCTCTGAAACTCTTTGTAGCGCGAGCGTTCTGCTTGCCTTCGTGGGGATTGTGATGCCTCTCCCTTTCATAATGAAGTTGTGAAGATATATGCACTTAGACTACCAGGTATAAATATTTAATCAACCCTCTGACGTCATGCACAAGATCATAATTCTATATACGTTTATCTTTTAAAGGAACATCCCAAATATTTCAGGCAGGGGATCATTTCAACGTGGGTTTCATTATAAGTGCGTGCAAAAGGTAAACTGTGGTTGAGCCTATTGAAACTTGAGCCCATGATGACGTGTAGCTTCATAATATCTTGCAAATCTGCCCTAAAAGTTTGACACTAAGCAACTTGCGAAAAATATTTTATATAATATGTGGAACATTTAGGCGAGGAAAAAAGAGTTAGAGGAAATTAAAAAGTGATGAAGATGGGTGGGAAAGACTTGTTGCAGCCTTGGTGACTCACAAAGTTAATTTCATGAAATTATTTTGTGTGCTGCTTAAATCTGGGTTATATTTTTTGTGCTCTTTCTTTTCACCACCCCATCCTAGGCAGCACACACCACATACTGTGTGGAATAATGCAGCCATACCCCCCTTCCATTTGCCAGATCTGGATGACAAACAAGCTGTAGCAATTTTCTTGTTACCCAAAAATGAACCAAATAAACTGGAACTTAATCTATTCTGGGCCCGAATTAATGTGTATGGTGGCTCAGATCTCTTAGAGCCAGCACTTTGACTTTAAAGCTGTTCACAGCTGCTTCTAAAGCCACTTCTACTTTAAGCAAAATGACTAATCGAGGTTGAGTGGAATTCTCTACATGTCGAGTGTTTTTTGTATGCACACCTGAACATTAGATCACGTTTCCTCAGTGTCGCTACAATAAAAAACTGGATGTGGGGTGGAATGCAAAGATATTTGTCTCTTTCAGTGTCATGGTCAAAGTTTGTTTAAATATGTAGGAGTGGATAGATTTCTAAAGCAAAAATATCAATGTAATATATTACTATTCTGTTTGCGCTCCAGCCTTGTGCAGATGCATCCCTGCCTTTTTCATGAAGTTTGGGATCCATTTGTAGCAGCTGTGTGTTGTATCGGTGTCCTCTGAAGCACAGTCTAAGCAACAGAAAGGGTGTGAAATGGTTGGAAGGGGAGATATTCAGAGCTGAGTTATGTAGCAACATAGAGCTGCTGCTTCAAGGCACAGAGTCTACAAAAGAGTGAAGCACGAAAGTGAAAAAGTTAGTTTTATAAAGGATTTTAATGATAAAAGTGTACTCAAACCGTAATACATAAAACTAAATAGCAGCTAGGTGCATGGAGGTGAAGGTGAAATTCCTCATAAACAGAATGAGGCAGAAGCTTAATATTGAGTATATGCATTTTCTAACTCTTAAACTGCACACAGAACTAAAAGGTCACATTTAGTATCTATATGTGCATATAGTATATTTTCCCTTACTTAATCATTAACTTGCTGCTTTAATTTAAAATAAATATGTAAATAGGGATCATGTTGCACAGAAAAACAGCCAGTTTTTATTAATTAATACACAAAGTGGTTGAATATACCTCCTGCTCACATTGCTTACAGCTAATAGATTTAGTCAATGTGGGATTGCCATTGGGTTTATATTGTTTGTTGCTACCTTTGACCTATGCAGAAAAAAGGCTATGTGTATTTATGATTAGCATTGTTAAACTGATGTTTTCGTCTGATTAATGGTGTATAAATGTATTAATCAACCAGTATGGCTTGATTGGGTGTGTGTGAATATATGGACACGGTCGGTCTTTGTACGCTACCTTTTTAAATACACGTATCAGCAGTAAGTGAGAGAGTGTGTTGGAATTATATTTGTTCTTTGGAGCTTTTCTTCCAGTGCACCTGTTGCCCATTCAGAGATTTTTGCAGAAATTTTGAACAACTTGCTTATTAATTAATTCAGAAAACATCCACATACATTTTGGAAATATTGACACACAGCAGACTCAGTGCTGTTTTATAAACAGACTGCATTCAGGGCTCCTTGGGGTTTTCCACCATGCTGCTTTGCTGTGTTTTTGGAAACAAACAAGTGGCAAGTTTTTACTTCTACTGCAGCTGAACAGTTTTAATGAAATAATCTGTCAGCCCCCCTGTGCTGCTTACCAGACAGAATCGGTTCACCTGAAGCTGATGTTGGATGGTGTCCAGGGATGTAACCAGCTCCAAAACATTTGCAACTCAGAAATGCATTTGCTTTTGCCTTTTTTCCACATTTGTCTGTCTGATTTCAGCTCAAATACGGAAAAATAGTTAATGTTGTTCTTGGAAAACAGGCACTAAGATAGAAGTTTTAATTTTTTTTCCCCCTGTAAATTCCTAACTCCTGACACATACCTGAATGTTTGACCGGACCAGTCTTTCATGTTTGTCTTCACCAAACATATGCATCACTTCTATAGAGACAGTAATAACTAAAGAACAAAATTGACAGACTGAGTCAAAGACAGTTCAGTTACTGTCACTCAAAAATAAAACATGAAAGAATGGCTCTAGTATGCAAGGACATTCATACTTGTAGCTGCTTTGAATGTGTACTTGGAATTAAAATTCAAGAGCAAAAGGAGGAAAAAATTTAAATATATTCATGCTTCAATTTTGAAACACTATTGACTTTTTACTCAATGCAGGTAAAGCTTCAACTTCACTCCACAAACGCAAATAAATACACACCTTCTTTAGGAAACCTCCTTCTCACACTTACACAGACATAAGGTATTAAAAGGATCTTTATATAAAACTTGAGCTCCTGTTTATCTCCGACAGTGGAGTATAAACTGATATAATAGAGTTTTCCAATAATGCTCATGATATATAACCATACACAGATCCATAACAGGAAATAAAAACAGACACAAACACATTTATTTACAGGGCTATGTCAAATAACACAACACTTTAGGAATCATGATGGTTATTTTTTTGTTTTCTGATCACATAACTGCAATCCCATTGAGTAATGAAGCAGAATATTATAAAGCTGTTGCCTGATATGTGCTCGTATCCCACAGATTGCTTCTAAATACAAGTTTCTACAATATCTGATACTTTGTTACACAGATTTCAGAAAATGACATTTGCAGGGCAGCATGCTGACTTTCATGCTGTGCCTAGTTTTGCTCATACTGATCCTGCAGCAGAGCAAAAGTAACACACTATTTCCCTGTTGAATTAATCTGAGTTGACCACTTGCCACTATGGCCCAATTAACCTCAAATAGTATCTCTTTGCTGCTATACCATTTCTGCTAAACTGCCAGCTGGATCCTGGGTGAAACTTCTGTTTCAAACAGAGAATACTATTCCAGGGGATTCAAATAATCTTCTTGTTTAAAAGTTGATATAAACCACTGAGAATAAGCAACCTTGCCAAGAGCACCCTGTGGTAATGAAACACCTTCCCTTTCTTCTTTCCATCATTCTATAATGCCAGGGATATCAGGATATCTCACTTTTTCATTTAGTTTCTTGCTTTTCAGAGATTATAGGATCACAGTATCTGTGTGATATCAGGACTTGACAGCATTAAGTTATTCCACCCACTCTATGTGAAAACCTGACATTATGTGGCAAATTATGTGGCTTCCTGTAGACTGCAGGTTTGTAGATAAACTGAAAAAACAAAACAGTGGTGTAAGGACAATAGCTGTTGTTCCCTTAGGGGTGGGGGTGACAATTACAGTGATGATGGATTTCAGACCTCAGGTTATACAGCAAAATATGCCATGTTTATTTCTGGTTAACTCTCACCCAGCAGTCCCCACTCCAGATCAAGAGTCTTTACTTAATATCTTCACAAAAAAAAAGAAAGAAAAAAAAGAAAAAGAAAAGTTTGTGACTCCATGGTGTAGTGGTTAACACATTCTCCTTATACATAAAAAATCTCCTGTTTGACAGTGGGAGGAGACAGATCCAGACTCAGGGGGCCACAAGCTAGCCCACTTCTCGGGCTAGTCCCAATCTCAGAGAAATAGGAAGGTTGCATCAGGAAGGGTATCCAGTGTAAAAAAAATTCAAACATACTGATCCATCTACTGTAGTTACCCCTTGGGGAAATAAGGGAGCAGCCAAAAGTATTAAAAGAAGATATTTTGACAAATAAAGAAGAATTTGCAGAATCGTAGCAGTTACAGCACTGTCTTGTGTCACTTCGACTGCGCTAATGTTTCAAACATTAAAAACAAAGATGCATTTCTCTCTGTCTTCTTTTTTTTCCTCTCACTGAATCCATAACATGTTATTATATAACTACCGAACAACCCTCATCATAATGTTCTGGCAGTGATGCAAGTGCGAGCTGCTGTAAATCATTGGTGTGATAAGACTGGAAGAAGCGACAGTTTGCTTCTTCCTTCTATTTTAGCTAAGACCTTTCTTTTTCTGCCGCCAGCTACGCCTGCACAATTTAACTAAGGCATTTCTACCCCAATTAGCCTTTTCTACCACCATTATGGTGCCATCAAAATTCATTTAAAGATGCTTAATAAATTTAGTGGCACTCTATGGGGTTTTTTTTGTGGTCCTTTCGGAGGATTGTATATGTAGTTTAATTATCTACATGTTGGTGTTTTAAGGTCAGAGAATTACGCTTGAATTACCACCTGGTGGTCATTTAATGGTCTATTGAATGTATTAATAGTTTTATATTCATTACTTAATTAACAAATGTGCTGGAGCTCTTTCTGTGCTGGGCAAAAAGGGAGGTGTGTGTGTGTGTGTGTGTGTGTGTGTGTGTGTGTGTGTGTGTGTGTGTGTGTGTGTGTGTGTGTGTGTGTGTGTGATTAACAACATAAAATTTCCTGACTGACTTGAACCTCTAAAGATATGTAATTAAATTGTGTCACTTCTACTAGACTGCTGGGTGTACAAGTGCAGACCATGTTATCTCGTGCATGAGTCTGAGCACTATGCACATGCACTGCCTAATAAACATATTGTATTAAAATGCAGAGGGTAGAAGAAGCTATGTGTTTTGTTTAATAATTAGGGGGAAAAGTCTTCTTTTTTTCTCCATTAGCCACCCAAAAGCT